TGTGTGAAATGGGCTAGTAAACAACAACAGAGAGTTAAAAGTTTCAAACCTGATGCTACAAGCACTGAAGTTGTTAACAAAATATTATGGATGATACCAGGTACTATGCAAATTCCAATTGGGAATATAATTGGACCTACAGGTAACTCGACAGAATTTATTTTAGCCTTTGAAGAAATTGTTAATGTATGGTACCAGTAAAAAGGAATATACCAATCAAGAACAATTCAACAAGACTGTTGACAACACTGCGCAGACTAGCAGCACTAGAGCTCAACCATCTACTACTGAGAGAAAAGGTAATAAATCCTGTAATAAATGTGGTAGTACAGACCCAACACATGTGTGGAAGACATGTAGAGGGCAAGGGAAGATGATTTAGAAGATGTCTTGAGAATAAAAATGTGGGAAGAATGGAGTTCAGGATTGACCACAGGTTATAAGTGATTAGCGAGAAGGTAAAGAGCATCCTCAAAGAGTCATGAGGGAAGTCTTTTGTTGGGGATGGTAAAGAAGCACAGCAACATGATCATGTGCTGAGAGCAAGGCTTACCAAGAATGTTTGTCATCACTACATCCCCCTATGGCACCTGTAACCTATTCTCTTTTCTAGAAGCTTGCTCCTGGTCCAAGGGATTGATATCTTTCATAGTAAAGATAATTTTTTTACATTTGGCAATGATGCCAAAAAGCAAAAATTTGGTTTACCACTTCAGAGACCAATTCTGTCAGGATTACAAGTCAAGAAAGAAATACAAATGAACTTGATAACTCCCAACCTGAATTGGAAAAAGTCTCGTGTGAGAAGGAAGATGATTTGATGCCTGAAATCAATGAAGCAAAGTTTAGTCCTAAACTTACAGCAGGTGAAAAGAAAACATTTGTTGACCTAATTATCCAATATAAACATCAATTTGAATTGGGTGAGAAAGAATTAGAAAGCATCAAGTGAGCATTAAACTCACCATGGAGAAGCCTTATCCTCCAATATTGAGGAAAGCTGTGTATCCTGCTAGTCCCAGGAACAGAGTAGAAATTGAAAAGCATATTGATGAACTCTTGAGACTGGGAGTAATTAGAAAGGTAGGCAGGTCAGAAGAAATAGATATAAGATCACCAGTCATCATTGCTTGGCATCATGGCGAATCAAGATTGTGCGGATATTTCAGAGCACTTGATACTTATACTGAACCAGATAGGTATCCATTACCCAGAACTGAACATGTCTTGATTAACCTGGGTAAAGCAAGATATATTACGCTCATGGAGGTTTTGACAGGTTTTCATCAAAACATAGTAGAAATCATGAGTAGGATATTCCTCATGATAATTTGTCATATGGGTATATATGAGTTTGTTAGAATGCCATCTGGAATTAAAAATGCACCAGCATTTCTCCAACGGATGATGGACACAGAATTCAGCAAAGAATTGAGAGAAGGATGGCTCAAATTTTCATAGATGACATAATAATTTTTCGTGATAACTATGATGAACATACCATATGTTTAGAAATAGTCTTGAAGAAAATTAAAGACATGGGAATGACAATTTCTCCAAAGAAGTCTAATTTTGGATTCAATGAAGTGAAAGTGTTAGGCCATTTATTATCAGGACTGTGGATAGCAGTACATCAAAATAAGACTGTTGCAATACTAAGGGCACGTTCACTTAAGGAATTTATGACTGGAAATCACATTCTGTAAAATTTTTAATGCAAAAATGAAACATACACCACCAAATAGACACTTTAAATTTTGCAGAATGTGATTTCTCACCAGAAATCGCTCAAGTGAACGCGCCCTAAATAAACCCCACCTAAAAATATTGAAGAGATGCAATGTTTTCTTGGGTTTGCAAGTTACTATAGAAATTTTTTAGCAGTTTATGGGAAGATTGCAAACTTCCTTTACAAATTGACATCAAACGGAGTTTCCTTTGAAATGACAAAACAAAGATTGGAAGCCTGGAGTAAGATTCAAAAGATGATAACAGAAGCACCCGTTCTGTTACAACCAGACTTCACTAAACCTTTTAAACTATATGTAGATGCTTCTTTTGAAGGTTTAGGCGCTGCATTTCATCAAGTTCAGATTATTGATGGAAAATCTAGAGAGGGACCAATAGTATTTATTTCTAGACAACTAAAAGACAGTGAAACTAGATACAGTTCACCTCAACTAGGAGCTTTAGCTCTAGTATGGGCACTAGAAAAATTGCACTATTATCTAGATGGAGTTTACTTTGAAGTCATTACGGACTGCACAGGTGTTAGATCACTCATGAACATCAAAACACCCAACAGGCATATGTTGAGATGGATGTTAGTTATTCAAGAGTACAGACCTCATATGACTATAACTCATAGACCAGGAAAGATGCATAATGATGCAGATGGACTGAGTAGGATGGCACTGCCTAATAATAGCAGTAATCCTGCATGGGATCTTGAGGACACAGACATGGAGATTCCAGTCATGGGTATCAGTCTGGCGGAATTGAGTGACAAGTTCTTTGAAGCAATCAAAGAAAGTTATCAATCGGATCCCAATACCCTAAAATTACTCAAACTCTTATCTAAAGATAAAGCAGATTTAGATCTTTCAACTACCTTGGAATCACCGTGGAAAGGTTACTATGCAGAAGGTAAGATATCACTGCAATCAGGGTTGTTGTACTTTTGAGAAAAACATACATCAGTTGTAGTTTTGGTATCAAAAATTCATAAAGAACAGATATTGAAAGTTTTTCATGATGAGTTTGTATCCGGTCACTTATCAACAGACATAACTCTTGAGAGAATTCATACCACAGTGTGGTGGATAAGATGGAAACTAGATACTGAAGAATATGTAGCAAGCTGTAATAGGTGTCAGAAAGCAAATACAGCTACGGGTAAGAGGTATGGACTTCTTCAACAAATTGAAGCACCAACTTACCCATGGCAGATGATTAATATGGACTTTGTCACAGGATTACCACCAGGAGGAAGTGAGAATTATAACACTTGTCTAGTAGTTGTAGACAGATTTTCTAGGCGGACAAGATTTTCACCATGTTATAAAGCATCTCCAGCAATAGATATTGCATTTCTTTTTTGGGAAAGATTGATATCTGATGTGGGATTACCAAGAGTAATTATCAGTGATAGAGACCCCAAATTCACATCAGAATTCTGGAAAAGTCTTTTCCAACTAATGGGGACTAAGTTGGCTTTCTCTACAGCCTATCATCCTCAAACTGATGGTTTGAGTGAAAGGAAAATTGGTATATTGGAAGACTTTGTAAGAAGATACTGCGCTTTTGGTCTTGAATTCAAAGACAAAGATGGCTATACTCATGACTGGTTAAGTTTGTTACCTGCCTTAGAAATAGCCTACAACAGCAGTGTTCATAGTACCACAAAGAAATCACCTTTTGAAATTGAAAGAGGTTATTGTGCACGTCTACCAAAGGAAAAATTTAAGACAAGAGATGTAGAAATCTATCCCACATCTTTATCTTTTGCTTCCATGACCAGTAGAGCAAGGACATTTAGAAGAACATAATAAAGAAACATGAAATAAGACACAATGTGAACCAAATTTCAAAGTTGGTGATCAAGTTCTTTTGTCAACAACAAACTTTACTAACATGGAAGGATCTAACACTACAAGAAACATAACATTTTCTGGGCAGAAAATTAAATTATTTGTATACAAACATCTGGAAAGGGCAGAAAGAGAGCAAAAAATATGAAATAATATGCATCCTGTTCCTTGGTTTTAGATCTCCAATCTGCATATTTTTCCGTATTTTTAGGGTTCATATTGGTGAGTGTACTAACAATAAACCCTCATAATCATCAGATTACCACCTGTGACAGATGCTGGAGTTTGGCTGATCAGTGCCGAGAGAAAATTTTGATTACTACAAAACCCCATACCTTTGTCAATTATGGCTCAAAACACTCGATTTTGGGTGCATCGGAAAGCTGGTATTTGCCTGAAGATAGTTCATAAATGAAGCAAATACGTGGCGGGCCTGCAAAGAAAGATATCCCCGATGAAATTGAATTTCACATATCATCAAATAGAATGTCAGTCA